TCCTATCCCACCCTTGTGATAACCCCTATTCTACTTTCTGTCTCTACTTAATTATAATTTTTTTAAAATTAGGGGAAGTGGTCACTAACATACCTAAGGAATACTGAAGTGAAATGTATTCTTTTTTCCCCTTAAGTTTTTGCCTGTGTGTTTTTCTAGGGATAATGAATACCTACTCTTAATTTGTTCTAAAGTGTGTTTGTTATTTGATCTAAAGCCGCAATTCAAGGACAGGCTGGCCTGCCTGCCTTCCTCCCTCCTGTTCTCCCTTCCTCCCTTTCTTTCTGTGTTCAAAACAGATTCTTTCTTTAAATTACTGGATGTATATTGTGACCTTTCTCCACAGTAGCTGGATTCTCCTGTTGTGGGCGATACCCTAAGGGTTGTGGGGATTTGCTTTTCTCTGTATTATTTCTGAAGCATTGACCCTTGGCCCAGACTTGCATGTAAACACTCCATTGACTGTCCTTCATTCATCTTTCTCTTTTTTTTGCAAAGGCCCATTTTCATCACCCCACCTGTTGTGTACTTGATCAGGTCTTCATGGTGGAATTAGTCCCTTGGCAGTAAGGGAGGAGCCAGCTGTTTCTTTAAAACAAAACAAAACAAAACAGGAGTTCATATGTGTGCATCTTTCCCCCAAGTATATACTGGCTCCTCCACATGCAGCCACAACAGGTAACCCTGCCATGCAGTCACTGTTTCCTCAAGGCAACAACCAGTGGATCATGAAGAATGATACCTGCTTGTGCCACATCACAGCAAGTCCACACAACAGATATTTCTGTAGTGAATGGATGAGGCCGATCAGAGTGGCGCTTTGGGAGTCAGAAGGGGGTTAGTTCTACTGGAGGTGGGCGTGGTGTGAAATGTCAAAAAAGAATTCTTCCAGAAGATGATCCTGTGCTGAGCCCTGAAAGTGACTGTATTCCTGGCAGAGGGAGCAGTCAGTTTTATTTGAATGTCAGTTTGTTGAGGGAAGAAACAGGTGGCCTACAGTTCAGCCTTGCTACATTAGTTTTTATTTTACATTTTATCTGTTTGAATAGGTAGTGCATGTACAAGATACAATACTCAAGGAGATTAAAAGGGAATACATTCAGTGAAAAATTAGTTTCCTTCTCTGTTAACCACTCAGTTCCCCTTCCTGAAGGCAGTTGTTAGCTGCCAGTGTCTTGCACATTATACCAGAGGGATTTTCAATGCATGTAGAGGGGCGCATGTGTGTCTTTTAAAAATACACTCAGACACACAAATGATTTTCTTCACATACTAATTTTGGAAGTGATTCCATACTACTACAGACTGAACTTCCCAGTTCTTTTTTTTTTTTTTTTTTATATTTTTATT